CCACGTCATCTCCGAAGAGCTGGCGACAATATTACCCAAAGATGTGCCCTTGGTTAAATTTAATGAAGAATTTATAGAAAGAAATAAAGGCTCCATACCTCATCTGCTAATTGGCGCCAGATCACTGCATTTGATAGACCCTGAAAAGAAACAAGATGCCGCAAATCTTTTGTTGGGTGCAATCAGCGAAGAATTTAGTAAAACAAGATCATTAAACGTGCGTATTATTTCATCATCTTTATAAATGATTGACATGTGAAAGATATGTTTCAAAAACCTTTTTCATTTTTAGAATTGTATCTTTGTGTACGAGACTCTCGAATCCTTTGAATCTCCTAAAGCCAGTGAGTTTTTGGATAAGTGCCGGGAGTGGTTCCCAATATCTACATATTTTCGCAAGGCAGAGTGAACAAGCGAAAGAGGCTGTGACATTAAAGCATTATATATCTATGTTGGTTTTTGCTATCAAGATGACCGAGAGGTTGTGTTACTAACTGTCGAGGTCGATTTTTAATAATTTTAATAGCAAGCAAGCATTCTGTACCTTCTAGATTGTTGGATTGTCATTTATAATAGATTATTTATGTTCCTCCTAAATGATGAGATTTGTGCATGGCTTTAAGAGGCAAATTTAAAATAGCGAGTTTTTTTTTTTATATAAATGTTTGCTCATTTGTGATTTACTCTTGGTATCGACTATTTTAAACACTCTCAGGGTTTTATAGCAGGGAACTGGGTTTGTTCTCTTCGGGAATCCATAATGTTGGTGATGGAATTTCCAATTTTGCGCGAAATCCCATATCTTGCAATCGGCATTTTATCGATAATAAAAATCTCATATCTTATTGATAAACAACATACAGTAGGCATCAAAAAAAATGCACCACCGATATGATCGAATCTAGATAGCATATATCTTTGCAAGAAAGAATCGAAACTTTTAAGTATTATATAATATATAGCTTATAATTAAAGCTACATAATAATATAATTTTTTTCTTAAATAAATAATTTATTAGTAAAAAATTTTAAAAAATCTTTAATTTTTATGGTGCATTTTTTTTTGCCGTTTTTGAATTCAAATTTTTTATTTTTTAAAATTTAATACAAAACACCTTATTATATCTTATAATTTTCAACATACTATAATTTACCAAACAATATAACCTCTCCAAGCTACAATAATATCTCTTATTCTTTTGGGCATCGTATGAATTAACTTTTGACAAAACTCAATATCAATTGAGTTCCATGTATCATTGACTAATTTCCACAGTTGTTCCTTATTCTTAATTTCAACTTTTGACTTATTTAAATAACAGTCCACCTCATTCCAAATATGTTCAATAGGGTTTAGATCAGGAGATTGTGGTGGCCAATCTAAAACTGCTATATTATTATCATTAATCCATTGAGTAGTATATTTAGACTTATGTTTTGGATCATTATCATACATAAAAACTATATTATCAATATCTAAATCATAATATTCTAAAGATTTTTTAAACTTATCAGATAAAATTTCTAAGTGCAATTGTGAATTAAGTTTGTTATTGATTTGACACAAATATCCAACTCCCTTTCAAGTTAAACAGCCTCAAGCAAAAATATTTCCTCCATCAAATTTAACAGTTGGCTTGATATGATGCTTTTTTAGTTGTTTGCCTGGCTTTTTTCAATAAAATTCTTGGCCATTTGGATTAATTAATTTAAATTTGGATTTATTAGACCAAATAACTTTGGTTCAATCTTTAACTGATCAATCTTTATATTTTTTAACAAAATCCAATCATAATTTCTGATATCGTTTTGTAAGTAAATGCATTTTCTTTTTAACTCTAGCTACAAATTCATGTTTTTTTAATATTCGATATACTATGCTATTGCTTATTTCAATATTATCATCGATTAATAATTTTTTTTAAACCAAAACCAATGTTGAACATTCATTGTGAATAATTTTCCTAATTTATTCACGTTCATCTTGATCAGATAACTTTCATGAATGGCCTAAACCTTTTTTTCTTTGAATGTTATTTGTTTTTTCAACCTTTTTTTTTAGTCTAAGTATAGTAGTCTGATGTGCATCACCTAGATGCTTTCCAATATTTCGTGATGAATATTCTTCCTCTAATAATACAATTGCCTTTGCTTTTTGCTTAATAGATAATTGTGGCATATCGGATCAAAAGAATTTTT